TGGGGAGAGAAGGGGGGGCGGGGGGGGGGGGGGGCGAACGGAGGGTCAGGCGGCTCCCAGCGGGAGGGAGAAGCTGGCAGCGCCGCCGCCGCCGCCGCCGCCCGTGACTTGTGCCCGGCTCCCTCGGGGACGCACCTGGGACTGGTCTTGGGGGTGGGGGGGGGGAAGGCCGCAGGTGAGCCGAGGCGCTCTTCTCTGGGCACTCTGACCACCCGAGTTCGCCGGGACGATGGGGAGGTTGGGGAAACGGGCCCCGGGGAGCGCCTGCCTCCCGCGATGACACCACGCCTGTCTTTTCGGCACCCTTCTGCAACTGCTGGGTCCTCTCTGGCTGCAGGAAGAGCCTGGAATGAATGCTCTGCCCGGGGCGGCCAGCGCTTTCTCTCCTGGGCGGCCAGCTGCACGGGAATTCCAGAACGGGACTTTACTTCAAGACAACGCACCGAACTCCCTCCGAAACGGAACCGTCGTGTGTTCTTCTCTAAAGAGCAGGCGTGATAGTGATGCAACACACACATACGCCGCCACGAATGCATACAAAGAACACGTCATCCGGATTATTTACCTCTGACCCCCCCCCACACACACACACCCCATGTCGTCGCTACAGTCAAGAGGTTTAAAGAGTGTCAAAAGAATTGGCATCTTGTCAGGGAACGGGTAGATTTTAATTCGCCCTGTTTATGGTCACAGAAGCAAGGAGTGTTTGTTATTTCGGATTAAGGCTGAACACAGGGGTGGCATCTGGTCTGTACGACCTCGGCAGCCTGTTCAACTAAACGGAGTACTGTTCACACATATCAACCAAACCCAAAACATATCGGGTGGGTTCGGGCCAGTGAAGCCCACCGATTAGAGTAGCTTGGGTCGGAGGTTGCATTCTCGTGGGTTCTTTGTTTGTTGGTTTGGCGCAGGAGCCCTACCCCGCAGGCCAACCACCCCTCCGAAGGAAGCCCGCCAGGCTGGAGGTTTCGTGGTTTGTATTCCAGTCGCGTTAATTCCCAGCAAACGTCGGTAGGGGGCGCGCTCCCAGGCAGTTGGGCAAAGACCAAGTGGCTTCTAAAAATCAAGGCAGCTGCATTCAGAAGATGGGGGAGAAAAGTAGGGTTCTAAAGCCACAGTTCTAGACGGATGATGAAGAAGGATCTGGGCTCAGCCGTCTTTCCACGGTGCTGAATATCTATGAGATCTCTATCGAGCCTCGCTTTTGCAGGAAGACTGTTCGCTTGCCCTCTGTCCAAACGCCTCTGAAGAGCAGCCGCCTTTTCCCAATGCGGATTTAGGATCCCGAGAAGCTAGCCCTCTTTTGCTACTCCGCCCCCATCATTGTCGCGCCAGCGCATTATCCGCACTCGCGGCCTCGAGCGAAATCTTCCGCAACTGGTTACCGCTACGAGGCGAGGCGGATCCCTTTCTCCTTGGCAAAGCCGCCTCGATCCCCTTCCGCGCTGGGCGCCCGAGGACTCCGCATCCCACCCGCTCCGATCCCAGTCTGGAAGGCCGCCGCGCTCCGGATGGTTCCCAGATGAGGGCGGCTCTGGCTCGGACCGGGCGTCCCGCTCGGCTGGACCCCCGCGCGCTGACAATGGACCGCCTGGCGCCGGAGCAGGCCCGTGCCCAGGCACAGATGCCGCGAGAGACCGGCGAGGCCCTCGGGGGCCTGGGCAAAAAGCCGCCCCTTGTCGTCTTCTCCCGGCGGGAGGGTCCCTCCGCGCCGAACCCGCTAGAAATCCGGCCAGAAGCGCGGTCGGGCTCCCCATCTCTGCGCTCCCCATGGGGAGGAGGGAACTGTCCTGCCTCCCCTCGATGACTGGGCGAGGATTGCCCCGGACTCACTAGGCTCTGTGTCCAGCTCCCCGAAGACTTGCCCCTCTCCGCCCGCCTTGAGGGCAAACGGGTTCTCCCGCACCCTTGCTTCTCCCCGGGGCGGGGGGGGGGAAGGCGTCAGGGGCCCTTGCTGCCGCCCCCTCTCCTGGCTCCGGGGGTTGGACTGCCTGGCACACCGGGAGGGACGGGAGATCCCGCCCCCGGCAGTCATCTGCTTCTCTTCCCGGTCTCCCTTCGGTTCCTTCACCCCCTTCCCTGCCCGGGAGGCCCCGAGAGAATCAACAGCCCCGTCGGGACCAGCCGTCTCCACCCCGCCCGTCTCGGGCACCTCTCTCCCTTCCCTCGTTCCCTTTCTCCCGTTCCCTTTCGCTGGGAGGGTCAAGGATTCCGAGGCACCTTCCCATGTCTGGCTGGCATCGCTACCGCCGTTCTCCATCTTGCCAGTTTCTGCCTGCCGCCCGACTTCGCGAGCTGATGCCACCCTGTGTCGCTTCCCCACCCGTGCCCGCTCCTGGCCTCATGGGTAACGAGTTAACTGAAGGGGCAGAAGCCTCCGAAGCCGGGAATGCCGGTGACAATGAAAGCCCGAGTCGGTTTGGTGCCAAATGAGGGGCAATAATTTAAGAGGATCCCGGGGCGGACTTTTTACAAAAGGGATCCGAGTCGAAATCGTCGAGGCAGCCGAGCAGCCGCAGAACAGACGCTGGCTTCTCCCCGCGCCCGACCAGACCTTTCGCCTTGCCTCCCACCCCCCCGGGGGGGGGGGACTCCTGAACCTCGCCCCCGCTCGCCCCCTCGGGCTGCCGCGTCCCTTTCCGCTCCAAGTCTCCCTCCCTGTTTTGGAAGCTCCCCCGCGTCGCTTGAATCCATTTGCAGAACGACCCCCCACAAAACGAGGTCTAGGCACACCCACAGCCCCCCATCGACCAGCACGGAGACCTCTTGTTTTGGAGGCCACAAGAGTGCCCCCCCTTCTTTTGGAGAGGCCGAAAGGGACACAACTCGGGGGGGGGTGTCCTGGGCTGGCGAGGACCGTGTGCCCCGGGCTAGAGCCAGCCCGCTTGGCTGACGGATTGAGACACTGAGCGCTCCCTGGCCCTTCCGAAGGGCTGCCCTTGGCGCGGCGCACTCCCCAAACCTGGCGGCCTCCCCCTCCCCCTCGTTCCCCGCCCCTGGCAGAGCTCCGCCAATCCCGGGGCCGCGTCTTTCTTTGACAGGCAGCAAGGCCCCACCCCCGCTGACGTCCTTGGCAGGATTTGCATGAGTTGCGCTGCTGCAGGAGGCTGGAGCTCAGTTGTCTGGGAAGGCGAGGCGAGGCGAGGGGGGTGGAAGCGCACAGGCAGCCTGCCAGACACCCGGCCCCCCCTTCTCCCCAACATGGAGCTGCCGGCCGTGGGCGAGCACGTCTTCGCCGTGGAGAGCGTCGAGAAGAAGCGGGTGCGGAAGGTGAGCAAGGCAGGCCACGGG